TATGGTTTTTGTGACGTTCAGCGTGTAGGGACGCACGTGCGCCTAGAATGTCGATGCCAGAGTTATAACCTTTGATGTTCCGAGATGTGCGTCCTTAAGTTTAATTGCCTTGGACTCAATAAATAACAATGTCTCCAGAGATACAGTAGCAGCACAAAAATGCTTTTGTTAAATGTGTTTTGTTGACACAACCTCGAAGGCGCTTAACATTAACAACAACAGAGAAGAAAAACCAAAACAAATGCAAATGCATATAAGAATTCATAGTGGAGGTCCAGGAAGGTACTTGTGGGTCAAGCCTATCCCAGCCCCTGAGGTTGTATGAGGTACAGAATTCTACGCATGGCCGAAAAATCATGTTTGGTTCAATGCTTATTTGATAGAGGCTTGTATTTGAACATTTATCGTATTCAAAGAGGCCTTTTTGGGTCAACTTGCTGTAACAGAAATCATCTTGAAGCAAAAATTTGTTTTTGCACAAAATGTAATGCCATCTCCACATTTGGTTAACTACATTTCACATAAATTCTTTCATGTACACCGCACGAAGCAAACGTTGTCAATATTCATTGCAAATGTATTGCAAAACATTGATTAACTATCAAACGTGAAATGTGCTTTTTCAATTCTCACGCGAAGATCATGTTGTAAAGCAAACAAAATGCAAATGCAGAACTAGGCCAATGTTACATCTACAGGCCTGCATTTTTTAATTAAAAAAACAGGTTGTCTTCAATGATCATTCAATCAATCAATCAATCTTATTGTCTAGTGCACACAGAAAAAAACATGCAGATTGGTGTTTTAAATTCCAAATGAGAAACTAATAATTTAATTTATTTGACCGTAATTTAGAATCTACAATCGCAGTTGGAGAGCGCAATAATATAACTGAAAAGAGATTTAAGTTTTTGATATAAACAATATTACACTGCAGTGGAAATGGATCAAATTTTCCATCTGATACAGCAATCACTGTAATCCAATCAGAATTATTACTGCTGAGGAGTAATATCCATAGTATAACTTTCATAATAATATTCATTTCCACTTACTATATAAAAAAAAGTAGTTTATTGCAATTTCCACTAAGTTCTTATAATTTCTGTTTATACAGATCATAACCAAATGTACCACATAATGTACGCCTTTATGAAGCATCCTGGTTAAGCAAGATAAATTAGTATGACCCAAAAACATTTAAATAGAACATTCCCAGTATGAAGTGTATATATCCTTGGGGAAGTGCAGTGGCAGGGGAGGATTTGCCCTACAGGAAGGGCTACAGTAAGTGTTCTGACAGGGAGTCTGACAATATAGTGTCCAGAGGAAATGAACTGGTCAAAGTACAGGGGTTATCAAGGTCCCTGGTGCCAAGAGATAGTGGAACATTTTAAGGGCTAGTAACATCCCTCCCACCCCCTCATACACACATCCCCAGATGGCTTTGCCAATGGTGGAGAGTGACCAAAATAAAGTACCATGTCTAAGGGAATACTGTTGAAATGAGATATCAAATGAGATTCATTACTGCCTTTATTTGCGAGCCTAAATTGGAACAGCCAGACTGCATCACTGTAGCAACTTCTTATCTGCTTGCTTCATTGCTGCAATTTTAAAACACAATCATGATATTAAGGCCATTTTATGCTTCTTGACATCAACGGCAAGTTCTACCTTTTTCAATGGAGTTCTTACAGTAAGAAAATTGTCTACGAAATAAAACAAGTAAAAAATAACTTGTACCATAATCATTCGAAATTACAAGTTGATTAATTAGGTTCTAGTTGATTACCGTGACACGTCCCAACTCCCTTACTTGAGCTGATGTCGCCCCTTAAGAGTGCACGGTAGTAGAGCCAAGGCTTATCCAAGGTAGAAGCTACTGGAGTCCAGCAAACTGTCGCCGGGTTACCTGCTCATACACAGTTGTGGTGGCAACAGTATCTCAACATCGAGAGTACGCATTTCCCTTCCCTTTCATGTTCGCTGTCCATTTTTTTTTTTTTTTTGCCATTTTTGGCTGCCATCTCACATCATACTTGAATGGCTTGATTGCTTATTTTATCTTTTATTTATTTTTATTTTATTTATTTAAATTTTTTGGTCACTGACTTCTGGCCTGTATACTGTCAGTGCCGTGAGAAGATATTATTCTGGAAGCTGCTCTATAAATACAGTATTCTACCATTACCATATACCATTTTGCAAAATCATTAAGTAACTACAGCACTAATTTATTTGCTATATGATTTCTATTGGTCTAGCTGACCGCCCTGCCATTAGGGATGGTATGGGCTTAACAAACTCACACCACAATGAATAATTGAGTGGGTTCATAAATTAAAAGCATATCCAACATGCAGTATTAATGAGGAACACAGATGCCAAGGGAAAAGCACCTACTATAGTTATACAGATAGGTGTTTCCCAGGGACCAAATAAAGATTTCCCAGGGTCCAAAAAAAAAAAAAAAACAATTCCCAGGGACCAAAAAAAAAAAACACCAAAAAACATTACCCAGGGATAAAAACGATTTAAAAAATATTGCAAGGGACCAAGATTTCCATAGTACTAAAACTAATGTTTCTCAGGACAAACAAAAAAAACAATTCCCAGGGATAAAAAAAAAAACACCAAAAAACATTACCCAGGGATAAAAACGATTTAAAAAATATTGCAAGGGACCAAGATTTCCATAGTACTAAAACTAATGTTTCTCAGGACAAACAAGCTATAGCCTACAGAGACCCTTCACAACCTCTCCAGTAGCTACCACCCTTCCTCACTTTGCTCCTTATAATAACCTAAAGGAACACTGTAGAGCATCAAGGCAGAGGCTAGAAAAAAATCAATATTTTTAAAGGATTTAGCACTGCTCTCAAATCTTGGATTGGCTCGACCTAATGAAAGAATCTAGAAATTTCAAAAAGGGGGAGAAAAATGGATGGTCTGATTATAACTAGAAACTGACAAATATCATATAAAAATATTGTTAATTTATCACCCTATCTAGGCTGGAAAAGTGATGTAGTAGGGAGGGAGGCTTTTTCTTTATTAACTATTTTGCTAAAGCCAAATATAACCTTTGGGATGTTTGCTAGTGCATTGATATTCAAGTAAAACATTACTGAGATAATACAAATATCTACTAACTACTTTTTTTCTAAATTATTATTATTTTTTTTTTCAAATATATCTTTTTTTTCAGTACCATAAAAGACATGTGAGCAAGGTTGATAAACTAATAATTTTTTTATTGATCCTAATTGACTAATTCATGGAGGCAATATTTTTATCTTTCCGGTCTACATAAAGTAAACATATGCAAAAAGGTAAGCAGTATTATCTGGATTTACTACAAGTTTCGAACACTAAATACACCTGTCAAGTAAATGGTAAATAGACAGAGGTCACATTATGTAGATTCAGTTTGACCTGTAAGAATATTATACAGCTGGAATTTCATTTTGACCTAGGCTAGCTACTATGGTTATATGAAAAGTATGCTTTCTCTACTATTTAAAGGCTTTCTTCTATAAATGGAATGACCTGTGTGACCCCGGTACCATTTCAATTTTTGATCGTACAGGAAATTTTCTCACGAACCGTAGCAAGTTGGTATACTGTATGAAAAAATCTATAAATATATAATAGTTCATTTTTGACAATTCATATTACCTGTACAATAATACATTACAATACTACATTTCATGATATACAATGGTAGAAGTAAACAGGTGCCTGGATGGATGAAAACTCAGCGAATCCTCCATCCAGGCAAGTACAGGTATTAGGTTGACGACTCCAATTTCTGAAGATGCAACCTTTATATCAACATATCGATATGCATCATTTTTGTTCTTCATTGTGCCATTAACAATACTGTAAGCTCTTGGATGGATAAAATCCAGTGGGATATCTTGGGGTACCAAAGTTCAGTCAGAGCCCAAGGATTACTTAAGAGGCGTTCTGTGAAGATGGTATGCGGCGATATTTAACTACTAGTGT